ATCAACCAGTGATGTCATCACACACTCCAGACCAACAAACTGTAAGGAACCAATTGCAACACACGGTTTGTTCATTAGTCACATAGTATTCCATTTCTTCATTCATGCATACTCTAACGTGGATTAGTACCTGACTATCCAACCCAAGCAGAATGATCATGAGGAAGAAACACACCGACCACACTTGGGGCACTGGCATCATGGCTACAGCACGGGGGTAAACAATGAATGCCAACCCTGGACCTACAAACAAATAATGTAAAGACAGATCAAAGATGTAAATTATAGGACACAGACAGGAATCGTTATGTGTGGATACTTCAGTATACTGTCTTATTGCTTTTATCTCTATTATGGTGCTAAAGGAGAGGCCAAGGGATCCATCAATTTCTTTACAAAAACATCCTTTTTTGTTGTTATTGTTTTGTCAGCCACAGCAGTTTGCCTTGTGGTCTGCAGTACAATCCATTTAAAGTTCCTGTTTTCGCTTGTTATTTTAGTTCAGCTGCTCAACCATGTTTCTAGCGTCATAGACTTTTATTGCCTAGCCATACTGGTGTACTAGCTGTGGAAACTAATTTGGCATTATTGTCTTACTGATTCCCTCAAAAAGAAAAATTTAAAGGTTTAATGAGCCAGATTATTACTTTATATATATATATACCAAAAATGAATTAATACCAATTAATTGCCTATAATAAATATAGTTACATGCCTCAACTATTAGCCACCTTCCCAAAAGGCCTGAAAGTTGGCAATCCTGTATTATTATCTGCTGATAATAATACAGGGTTGCCAACTTTATCCTCTGCATTCCTAGTATCCACTGGTTAGCTTTAATCAGACTCACCTTAACTAAGATGATTCAAGTTTAAGCCAAAATATCAAAAGGGAAATAAAATGACAGAGCAACATATGAGCTCTGCCAGAAAGCTTCTTATAATTGAAAGAAAGAAAAGAAGAATCACAAGATCTTCCCAAAGGGTGAAAAGTTTGCTGCCATGCAGGTTTCCTGAATATTTTTACAACACCAGAAAGCCTCAAAGAAAATGTATGAAACTGCCACTCTCATGTCCAGTATATAGTTGAACTGAATTGAGACAGTACATGCCTGATTCTGCTACTTCAGAAATATCCACTCCTTGTTCATATGTCATGAAACCCAACACAGAGAAAATGGCAAAGCCTGCCACAATGCTCGTGGCACTGTTCAGCAGACACAAGTAGAAACAGTCCCTGCAATAAAATGAATATGGTAAGTAGAAATACTTAGACACAGATGTTGTAGATGCTGATGCTCAACTTAAAAGATGATCATAATGATCTTTATGACAGTTAGTACTGGACTTACTTATAACAGTTGTTGTTGTAAGTGTTATAACTCCCAAGAGAAGTGAGGAAACCAAGGCCAATGGCATAAGAGAAGAAGATTTGAGTGCCAGCATCCATCCACACCTGGAAAGGTCAAACAAAATCATCGTGTGTGTGTGTCTATAGTGCATGAATGTCACTGTAAAACATCTAGCTTTTCTGGTCTCGGGTCTCTATGTGCTTTCTTTACCTGGGCATCTAACAGGCGAGAGATGTCAGGGTAGAGGTAATAAATGATCCCATCCTTTGCCCCTGGGAGGGTAACACCACGTATAAGCAAAACAAATAGCATGACATAGGGGAAGGTTGCTGTAAAGTAGGCTGCCTGAAAAAAATAAAATAAAACAGAGAAAAGAGATGGTAAAGAAAGTTATAGTTTGTTTTGACCTGTCATTTCATTATTTTATTCATATTTCTTTCTTTAGTTTTACTGTATTGCACGCTTGCTTTCCTAAATCCAGCTTTGGTGTGGCACATTAGTAGCATCTTGGGTGTATTACTCTTGAAATAAACAGTTCCCACAACGTTAATCAGATCACTATAACTTCCAGTGTAATGTTTAGCTTAAACGTGAATATTACTTACCTTTTGAAAGGATAAAAATCACACCAACAGCTTTTCTTTATAGCTGCTCTTCTGATATTACTAACCAGTGCTTTAAAACATGGTGTAAAGCTTACTAAATACTTTACCAAAACTGTTCTTTGGAAAGTTGAAAGAAACTTCAACTAACCCCAGCCAAGTTATGCTTTGTATCATTTTTGCACCATTTAGATCTTACAATAAGAAACCTGTCACACACTACACACCTAACAGTGAATCTTGTCCCCATTACTCATAAATTTCATGAATGACAAGTTTGAAAACCATACACTTCAGTATCAGATTAATTCAAATGAGTTCATAGATGGTTTTCATGCAAG